CATTTCTGATTTTATTTATATGGGTCCTCTCTCTTATTTTCCCTTGACGAGTCTGGTTAAAGGCTTGTCAATTTTGTTTATATTTTCAAAGAACCAGCATCTGGATTTATTGATCCTTTGAATTGTTCTTGTAGTCTCTATGTCATTCAGTTCTGCTCTGATCCTGCTTATTTCCTTCCTTCTACTTGCTCTAGACTTTGTTTAGTGTTGTTTCTCCAGCTCTTGAAGATGAAGGGTTAGGTTGTTTATTTTAAATATTTCTATCTTTTTTAGGAAGGCCTGTACTTTTATGAACTTCCCTCCCAGGACCTCCTTCACTGTGTCCCATAGGTTTTGGACTGTTGTGTGTTCATTTCCATTTGTTTCCAGAAACGTTTTGATTTCTTCTTTGATTTCATTATTGACCCATTCATTGTTTAATAGCATCCTATTCAGCCTCCATGAGTTTAAATATTTTTGAGTTTTTTCCTTGAGTTTGGTTTCTAGTTTCAAGCCCTTGTGATCCAAGAAAATGATTGCAATGATTTCAGTTTTCTTGAATTTGTTGAGGCTTGTTTTGTGTTCTGTCATGTGGTCTATCTTTGAAAATGTTCCATGTTCATTAGAAAAGAATATATATTTTGCTCCTTTGGGGTGAAAGGTTCTGTATATATCTATTAAGTTGATTTTATATAGGGTGTTGTTCAATGTCACAATATCCTTGTTGATATTTTGCTTGGAAAATCTCCCTATTGTTCACAATAGGGTGTTAAAATCCCCTACTATGTGTGTTGCTATCAATATCTTTCTTGATGCCCTCCAAGGTTTTCCTTATACACATTAGTGCTCTTATGTTGGGTGCATATTGTTTACAGGGGTTATTTATGTCTTCTTGACGGATGGTTCCCTTAAGTATTATGAAGTGACCTTGTTTGTCCCTTTTTATAACCTTTATTTTGAAGTCTATTTGTCTGATATAAGGACTGCTACCCCAGATTTTTTTTTTTTTTTTGAGGTCTATTTGCTTGGAATGATTATTTCCATCCCTTCTTTCAGTCTGTGTAGGTCTTTTGTTCTAAGGCAGATCTCTTGTAGATAGCAGATATAAGGGTCATGTTTTCTTATCCATTCAGCTACCCAACGTCTTTTGATTGGAGCATTTAATCCATTTACATTTAAGCTTATTATATTATTGATAGGTTCTTATTCATTGCCATCTTTCCTTTTGTTCTTGTGTTCCTCTCTCTCTCTCGTTTTCTTCACTTCATAGAGCAGTCCCTTTAGCATCTCTTGTAATTCTAGTTTGATAGAGATGTGTCCATTTAGCCTGTTTTGGGTGTGGGAAGTTCCTCATTTTGCTTTCCATTTTAAATGAGAGTCTTGCTGGGTAGAGTAGTCTTGGTTCCAGGAGTTCATCTTTCATTTTTTGGGGGTATTTCTTGCTATTCCCTTCTTGCTTGTAGCATTTCTGTTAAGTAATCAGCAGATAGCCTTATCAGGACTTCCTTGTATGTTACTAGCTGTTTCTCCCTTGCTGCTGGTAATATTCTCTCTTTGTCTTTAAACTCTGCGCTTTTAGTTATGATGTGTCTTGAAGTGGGCCTCTTTGGATTCATCTTGATTGGGAACTTCTGTGCTTTCTGGACTTGTGTGACTTTTTCTCTCATCTATTTAAGGAAGTTTTCTGTCATCACTTTTTCCAACAGGTTTTTTTATGCCTTGCTCCCCTTCTTCTCCTTGTGGTATTCCTATGATATGGATATTATTATGTTTCATGTTGTTTTGCAGTTCCCTTAAGCCCTCTTCTTTCTTTTTGAGTCTCTTTTCATTTCGTTGCTGTCTGAGAATTTCTTTTCTACCTTGTCTCCAGCTTGCTGATTCTGTTCTCCACTTCATCTGGTCTGCTTTTTATTCTTTCTACTGTTGTCTTCAGTTCAGAAATTGTATTCTTCATTTCCTCCTGGCCCTTATTGATAGTTTCCATATCTTTTCCTTGCAGATATAGTTTGCAGTAAGTTCCTTGTAGCGTCTCCACAGTCCCTTGTAGTTCTCACTGAGGTCGTTGAGCTTCCTTATAACCATTATAATGAAATCAATGTCTGATAGTTTACTTGTCTCTATTTCACTTAGCACTCTTTCTACAGAGTCCTCCTTTCCTTTATGTCGTCTTTATATAAATTGAGTTATAAAGTCTCCTCCCTTTGTGTTACAATTTTAAAAAGAAATTCTGTATTATTTTGGGACATCTTTGCAGTCTGAGTATTTTTCACACTTACAGCATATGTCATTTCTGAGTAGCCACATATCAATTGATCCAAAGACACACAAACATGACTGGTACATATGGCTACCATATTAGACAGCAGTTACTTTGCTCACATTACCCACAATCTTTAAAAAAAATCCTTTCTTTCCTTAAAAAAATGGCTTGTACCTCAGAAAGAAGTACACCTCCCTTCTCCATGCAATTTTCTACAACATGTGTTTGGGATATTCTTTTTCTGGTAAACTAATATGCTTAAATATATTGTGGAATACCATTTGCGTAACCCATATATTTAACAAAGCACTATGAAGACAAATGTTTAGTTGATTGTCCAATTCCAATATTCTATAATCCATCCATACAGTAGTAGGACTGGGAAATAGGGAGCAGCACAGCTAGATGAACTGTAAGCCCCTCAGATGATAGTTCATATACAGCTCAAGGCATTTCAGTTGCCAAACACTGCAGGCCAACTTCAACTTCAAAAGGTAATTTGCACTAGTAGGAGTAATTAGTATTACCTCATTTCTTTCATCAACCTCATGATCCCTAATGATCATAAGATGACAAGACCAGTTATTTTTTGCTCTTGGGCTGGTTGTTATCACCATAACTCTCAAATAATTTTCTATCCATACTGATTAGGGCTGTTGAAAAACGACTATACTATTAAGAGTGCCTACCAATACTTCTCAGCACAAGAAAGCAGACAGGTGAAATTAGAAGTGGAAGTTGCTATGTCATCTGACTCCTCTTCTAAAAACATCTTTTTCATTGAATTTCCAGTTATCTTTTTAATCATACCACCACAAAAAATTAATAGGAAAAAATATAATATATTTAATTTAGTGAGGCAAAATGAAAATTTCTTTCATTGTTTTCTTTGAACTTCATTTTCTATGACTCTTAAATATAAAAATATTCAAATTGGCAAGGTATTCTCAAGTCACTTAAGCAGATCCCCAGCCCTCTACCAATTCTACCAGGATTTACCTGAACACTGTCAATATTGTATTCTGTTAACTATGCCTTCTTGTTATAAAGCCATTTTTAAGGCATTTATGATTCTCTAAGGATAAATACCAACCTTGAAAGAGAGACTCCAGTGCACTACAAAAAATACTACTTAATAACAAGATAATTTGTCCTAATTTTCAATAAGTTTTCTTCATTACTTAATATTTTGGAGTTTGAGTTTCCCCATCTATAAACTTTTCTTAAAAATTAATAATAATTAATTTGAACATACCCAGAGCTGACTTGGGATTAAAATAAGATAATGTATATGAAAATAGAAAATTAGAGGGAAGTCAAGATAGTTATTTATATAGTATGAGGATAAGGGCAGAATGATAAAGAACTACAGGATTCCCCTTAGGAAGACACCTCAGGAAGTCTGATGGGTTATAGTGTCCACATGATGCCCTCAACCTCAGCACTATTTGCATTGTGGCCAGATAATTCCATGTTAAAAGTTATGCTGCCCTGTGAATTGTAGGATAGTAAGCAGCATCACTGGGCTCTAACCACATGTTGCTGGAACATCCCCTTCTCCAATTTTTACAAATATCCTCTAGGGAGAGAATATATGCCCAGCTGAGAATCACCATCTTGGAGTCTGGGGCCTTGAGAATAACCCAAGCCAGTTTCCATTTTACCAGCTTTAGTTTTCACATAGAGAGGAGGAAATTGTAATAACTGATAAGAATGATATATAGTAGTCATAGAATTTATTTTGGTGTTGTGGTAGCTGGCCACCTCACTTTTTAAAGGTTAATGTTAGAATTGATCAAATCAAGCAAGAAAGGATCAACATAGCCATAGAGGTGATAAGAAATGGAAAACAAAGATGAAACAAATGACAAACAGATCAATATGGATGCAAGGATAAGTCCAAAAGCAAGAGTATTCTAGGAAGAATGAGAAACACCAGGAATTATTAAAGGGAAAAGAGCTGTGTGTGTGTGTGTAGTTCCCAAACGAAACTGAGGACTGCTCACTGCTTACATGTCTTCTATTTTAACTTGTTCCTCATGGTGTTGAGAGAACCATCCAACATCTAAAATGTACAGAGAGAGGCTTCTGACATCATCAGGGAACAACCATTACACACGGCCATTGCTTGACAGCTGCGACTCCAATGGCCATCAGAGATCTGTGTCTCACTGTCTAGTGTATACCATGTTCTCAAAGCCTCACTTTATACTCATTTGTTACTATTTTTCCAGTGAGACTAAGCATTGGGTTGGCTGAAAAGGTCATTTGGTTTTTTTTTCCACAAGGTGGCTCTAATAAGGCTTAGCTGTCTTCACCTTCACTCAAAACAATTTTGAGAGATTGTATCATGACAGTGGTCATATCAGTGTGCATTTTTAAAAAATGTCAAAATTGGTGAATTTTTGTGTAGCCATTTTAATATTGAAGATGGAAGAAAATATGCAACATTTCGACATACTATGCTTTATTATTTCAAGAAAGGTAAAAATGCAACTGAAATGCAAAGAAAGATTTGTGCAGTGTATAGAGAAGGTGCTGTGACTGATCAAACATGTTAAAAGTGATTTGTAAAGTTTCGTGCTGGAGATTTCTCTCTGGATGATGCCCCATAGTCGGGTAAACCGGTTGAAGCTGATAGCAATCAAATTGAGGCATTAATTGAAAACAATCAATGTTATATCGCATGGGAGATACCCAACATACTCAAAATATCCAAATCAATAAAGTTATCGGTGAAAATAAAAAATATGTTGTTTTCACACTTATCTAAGAGATAACATGATCACAAAGGTGTTTTTCCCAGGGTGAGGTTTATCCATTGCACTCCGGATGAGCTGACGCCTGCAATTTCCCTAAATGTGGGAAATTTGACTGCATAATTTGTGCTGGTGGGGGACTGCATTCGTGCTCTCCCCTGGCACACAAAAATGTATCTTTTATTTTACAGAGAAAACCATATGGACATTTTGGCCAACCCAATAACTATGCCACATTACATGGGCTTTCTTCATTAACCTCTCAATTTTTTCAATACTCAGTTATAGCATCCAGGAGTGGGTATAATACTTTATATTTAATCAAAGTATAAGAAAGGAGAGCATAGGGGTTTTTCCAAAGTTTTGGTTCCTTGAGATATTGTTCCTAAACACAAATTATGCCAAAATTTGTCCTTGTGAGAAGAGCTGCTCAACCTAACTACCCTGTTCTGCTTCCATCAGTTGCTAGCGCCTCCCCTGAACAGAGTGATTTAGGACTAAAAGGGCTTAACTTCTATGTGGATTAAATTGTTTTTAAGTTTCTTACACATCATTAACATTGTACATAGCCCTGGACCTCAATAGAAAACATTTTCAATAAATTAGTGTAAAATTTGTATTTGTATTATAAATGTTATATATAAAATAAAAAACAAATTTAAATGTTTGCTGTTGTAATTCTAATATTAGTACAGCATTCAAAGAACTACAGGCCTTTCCTTATGTCAAAATATTCTTAAAATATATTTAATAAGGGGATTATTTTGTGTACCTAAAGTAATTACGGGAAGAAAGATAAGTACAGTATTTATTTTCTATTGCTATGTAACAAATTACCACAAATTTAGTTGCTTAAAATATCACCCATTTATGATCACGATTTTCATGGGTTAGGGGTCCAAGCACAGCTTTGCTGGATCCTCTGCTAAGGTCTCACCAGGCTGAAACCACAACGTTAGCTGGGCTGAATACTCATCTGGAGCTTGGGGCCCTCTTCCCAACTCATGTAGGTTATGAGAAGGATTCAGTTCCTCACAGTTGGAGGGCTGAGGCTCTCAGCTGCTAGAAGCCACTCCTCTCCTTCACAGCTTGACTAGTTTTCTCCTTCCAGGCTAGTGGGAGAGCATGCCTGCTGCTTAAGTCACTTGTAAAGGGCTCAGCTGAATAGGTCAGGCTCACAGGGAATAATCTCCTTTCTGATTTACTAAAAGTCAACTGATTAGGGTGAGACCTTTATTAAATATGAAAAATCCCTTTACCTTTGTCATGCAATGTAAATGCCATAAAGTCTTTTACATTATTATACACATAAGTAGCACAAATACTCCAGAAAAGGGTCAATGTGTAGGTCATTGGCAGTCATAAACCCTGCCACCTTGAGTTTTGGGTTAGCAGTTGAGGCAGATTGCTTGGATTTATTCATATATCTGATCAAAATATCACTATTACTATTAATATACAGTGTGATAGCACTTAATAAAATGATGCATTATTTAGATATATAGATCACCCCTATTGAAGTATAAATAAATATTAGGCATAAAAAATTGTAACTTTAGTAGTTACCTTGGTGCTGAGAAAAAGGATGCAATTAGGTTTATGGTTGATTTATTTCTTAACTTGGATGGTGTTTACATTAGTGTTCATTATTAGATGTTTTAAGAGACATTAAATATTATATAATATTTAAATAGTTTTAAACACTTCCTTATGTACTTGACTCTACTTTCAGAGTTATAAAGCAAAGCTTCTGCCTTCAACATTCTCAAAACTTTAACAAAAGAACCAAATTACAAATCACAAATTTCTTATAAATTTTTGTTTTAAAGAGGTATGGGATAATGCATCAAAGAAAATCTTCACAGAGAGCCAAGAGAATTTTCCAAAAGCAGAGAATATAAGAGTTTTGAAGGACAAAGGAGAATTGTCTAAAGAAGTAAAAAGACAACATGCCAGAAGAGGGTTCTGGAGGTGGGGTAGGGAATGTTTCACAGTTGCGATGTCTATCATTGCCAGAAAACATTAGAGATGTGCAGATTAGAGGGCTCAGTTGGGCATGTGATAAGGTGAAAAGCAAATAGAGGCAAGTTTCAATGACCTGTATGCTTTCCTACAAGTTCCCTTCTTATCTTGAAAGTCCTAGAGACACTTTGGAGTTCTTTAAACAAAGGAATAATGGCATTTATATATATTGAGATATATATATCTGAAAATAGGATAAAAACAGTACTGTTGTTCTGTTTTGTTTTGTCTTGTTTGTTTAGATTGGAGTGAGGTAGAGGAAAACAGTGAAAGGAAGCTAAAGTGTGTGGGATAGCTTTCTGTTTGCTCCTGGGATCCGCTCCTTGCCCTTTTCTATGCAACTCTGTGCTAACCTATAGGACTGAAACAATGGTTTCTTTCTTCTGACTTTCAGTTCACTTTAGCCAGTGGGAAGCAACAGCAACATACTGAAGACAGGGAGGAAAATAAAATTGAGATATCTGCTCCCAGTTTCCTTTCCTGAAAGGAAGGTTGACTGTCCCCATCTAAAGACCACAGTTCCTATCAAGCATTTCTCTACACATAACTCTCTCTATATGTCTTTATATTTATACGTTATATATGCTCCCTCCAACTGTCCCTCCAAGGGTGATAAAATCCATGAGGCATGGGATATCACCATTTTTATTTTGTCTTTCTACCCTATACCCAAACCATGGCAATAGTCCCTTAACTAAATTCTCTTCACAATGGCCAATTTGTGTGTACCATTGTTTCATGTCAGACACTGCCTGACATAGGAGGTTGTTGAGATAATCTTAAGGAGATTTCACAAGAACCTAAATTTAAGCTATTAATAAGGAGAAGGAGAATCTGAATTATTCAGAGGTAAAAATCAATAATAGTTGATAAGCAATTGAATATGGGGCCATAAATAACAAAGGTTATTCCCAAGTTTCAGATCTGGATTACCAGAAGAATGGTATCAATATCACAAATCATCAAAAAGAAAATAAGGCCAGAGGGATAGAAGTTGTTGAGTCAGGGTGGTCATAAATTCAATCTGAGAGAGATTATAATTAAGGTGCTATAAGCATCAAAGTGTAAATCCATGGGCTGGGTCTCCTTTGGGCTAGAAACTAAGAAAAAAGGAAGAAAAATTTTAGGAAAAGATGCACACTTTTATCCATAAATATATTTATATCTGTGCATGTATGTGTTTTGTGTGCACATATATGCACATGTAAAAGGGATTAAGAAAGTTTGAGAAGGGTCAGGGGGTCAGGCTGTTAACAGAGAATACTGGGGAAGCTTAAAAGGAGTAAATTAACAGCATAATTCACCAATCTGGCAGTCTGCCCAAAGTCCTGCCCAATTCCCCAGCCTTTATAAATTTAATAAATGCTCATGAAATTTAAAAGCAGTAAAAATTTAATTTTCCCATTTTTTATATTAGTAAAATTAAAAGATAACATTTAGTACTATATATTTGGACATTTAATTTCCAGAAGATAAATAGAAGGTACCAAAAAATAGTGCAAATAAAATATATAAATATGCTGTTAATCAACTTTAAAAAATTAGATTTTATTCTTCAAGTATGATACTTTTCTATTAAGTGTCACACATTTTTTGGTTCTATTGATGCCACTGAAAACAGCAATACCACATAAAATGCTGGATTTGTCTGCTCTTCACATGTGCCACATAGTGGCTGAGAAATTTAAAGAAATATAATTTTTAAAAGTAATAATTTCTGCTCTGATTGGCATAGCTCAGTTGGTTGAACATCGTTCTGCAAAGCAAAACATTACTGATTTGATTCCCAGTCAGGGCCTGGATTGCAGGTTTGGTTTCCAGTGGGGGCATGTGCAAGAGTCAGCCAATCAGTATTTCTCTCTCACATGTACATGTCTTGGCCTTTCTTTCTCCCTCCCTTCCTTCTATCTAAGAGAATAAATAAATAAAAATATTCTTTTAAAGTAATGATTTCTGGATCATGGAATACTGAATGAAAGCATACCAAATGTTAGCAAGACAATGTTCTCTGAATTTTGGGACTTCACTTTATGTTTGACTCTTAATGTTTTACTTTTCTGTATTTTATAAGATGTCTATACAATTATGCTATAATTTTATAATGAAACAAATACACATTTTAAGACACAAGTGATGTGTGAGTTTTTTTTAAAAAAACCTACTAGACCTATTTCTGATAACAGAAAGAAAAAAAACTCAAGTGTTTGAAAATTGTCCTCTTGCTTCTGACTCTAGTGGAAAACACACACACGCACACACTTTGAAGAGTCTTTTATTCCAGTCTTATTCAAACACAAAGATTTCCAAGTAGTTATAAAAGGCCTTTTGAAGAAAGTTCCACCAATTGGAAATTACTGCTTTTTTTTTTTTTTTTTGGCTGCCAAGTTCTAGCTCCCCATTGAGTCATTGTGCAATGAAAATGGTCTTTTGAGCACCCAGGCGCTGCCTCTCTCTAGAAAGCTTCCAGTCACCAGGAACCCCATATGGAAGCAGCAGGACTGACGTTAAAGGGCAAAGACACCATTGATTACCAACACATAGAAGGGGCCAGAAACAGGAAACACAACAAGGCAAAGTTGGGAAGGTGAGGCATTACAATATGAAAGTCAGCAGGTGTTGGCATTTAGGAAAAAAAATCCATTCCCATGGACTCCAATAAACCAAATAGTAAATGAAAAATTGAATAAAAACCTGAGATGGATTGACTGGACAGAATAAAGATGAAACTGTAATCTTAGAACCAGATACTCTAAAATTGCTACCATATTCCTTTGAAAAAATTTAACTGCTTTTAAAGAGAAAAGCATAGTAGTCTCCAAGTACCAGTCAACTGTTCCTATTTAAGTTCTCCATTTTTATTTTATTGTGAAGTAAGATCTCAGCTTTTAGCTCCTGAATGTCCATTCTGGTGGATGAAAGTGCTGGTGGCAAAAACAGCACCAGGTGTTAGACCTCAGTTCAGCAACCTCAGTACTTGAGTTCTGGCTAAGAAAAAATTCAGAGTTAAGACTCAAACTATAAAAGAAAGTTAATTTAGAAAGTCACAGAGGTAGAGGAAGTGAGCTGTAGAAGAAATGGGCTCAGAAACAACTTACAGAGGCAAAAAGAGGACCCTTGGATTTCAGGAGAAAGAGAGAGG